CCCCCCCCCCCTTAAACTGCAATGTCGATTTTTCTTTTGTCCCTAGTGACTTCAGTATAACAAATTATGGGTGCATACTCATTCTTATGGGATTCGGTGCACTACCATTGCCAAAATGCAGGAAAAACTTTTTGTTCCCCTGAGCTTTGGAGGGACTGTAGCCCTCTGAAAAAGTGCTTTCGGAAATACTTTTTTAGAGAAGTCTCATTTTGACCCATAGAAAACGCTCCTGAATAATGAAAATTTTAAAAGAAACGGTGGAGATACAGGCGGTCCTCTCTATGGCGGATCGAAAGGGGCCGGAGCATTATGCTGCTAAAGAGAGGTTGCCGTTATAAAGGAGGCCAACAAAAAAATCCATAATTGTACAATGGGAGAGCGAAAACAACGAAAAAGGTGGAAAAAAAGTGACAACTCGCGCATTTATGATGTCGGCCGATAGAAACTGGTAATCTTGGTCACATTTTTGTAACGAAGAAATGCAGATCTTCAACTTTATTCTCCAAGATTCGTATCGGTTGAAGACTATCGTTGTGCTGGTGGTGTTGGTGGTCTTTCAGAAATGTTCTTTTACACCTTCATTACACACTGGTCAGTTGCCTGTAAGACACTTGTTGTATTGGCTGGCAAGAAGGCAAATTTTAGTACAGTTATCAGAGCTACCTTTATGGTGGAAAATTGCACTTTGACTGTCCTCACACAGGTTCGCCACTGCCGCTACGAAGAGTGTCACTCTATGCAGGACTTTACCACATTTTGATACAGAGAGGGATAATTACATGCAATTAACATAGAAACGTCGAAGGACCGGCTGATCTTGCCGCTGTAGCGAGTTATCCGCTATGAAGGGTGCCTTTATAACGAGGGCCAACTGTGTATGTGAATGATTTAAATGAGATTCAATATTTTTCAACTTTATGGTGAAAATGGTGAGTTTCTTTAAAAGTATTGATTAATAATTTACGCTTCTGGAGTCTGGCGGTTTCACTTTTGACAATGGGCCTGTTGCAAACTTTTGCTAGAGCAAAACTAAGAGTTGTCACTTATAGATAATGCCTCAAAAATCACGATGAGCGCATCGGCAAACTCTGAAATGCACTCATAACTTCACAATCTGCGTAAGAAATTTGCGGTTTTTTGAGCTTCCCGCTTCAAAAACGATACTACGGCACAGGTGAACATTTTGTAAGAGGAGTCGTTCCATCGTCGGCAATAATCATCATAGCCGACGCCAATCCGCCAAAACACGTTTGATGGGACGAG